TAATGGTGTAATGTATGGTGATTAACATAACATAATAAAAAAAAAAAAAGAAAAGAAAAAGAATGGGTTGGGAAGGGGAGGTAAAGCAGAAATAAATCCCAAACTTGAAGATCCTCCTTAACCCATTCCCTCAAGATGAGGTTGACAAAAGAGGGTTGGACCGAGAAGACCTGAAGTCCATTTGATCTAGAAGAACTTACAGCATCTACTTGAATCTCCATTTCTTTGTGGATAAAATCGGGGAATATTGTTCATGATCATATCATCATCTAAGCTTATAATAGTAAAGGTGAAATGAGCTAAAATTCCTTACAAACTGTAAAGTATGGTTTTACAAATGTAAAGAAGCCATGTGATTGTGGCTAAGGGAGCAGAGAGAGAGAGAAGTAAAACTTAGTAATTTTTCTTATTTTCTACTGCACTTCTCAAAGTACAAAGGAAACAAAATTGGTAGAAGATGGTGAGGGCAGAGACTAATGAAAATAAGACAGATTTGCATATAATTTAGACACTAACTGCTCATGAGGGGTCTGGAAAATTGTGGGGCAACTGTGGCTTGTGACTTTATGTTTTGATAGTAATTGGCCTTGTGGAAAGAAGGTGAGTCTGTTCCGACAGGATGCTGCTGGGCTCTTTGAAGGTCAGAGAAGAATATCTGCCCTACACGCTGGTGGAGAGACTTAAGGGTCAGACTTAAATGTCCATGACCTTCTCCTCAATTGTTCTATTACCGAGCAAGTCAAGGCCCTCATCAACTTTCTCTTGTAACCAAACCTGCCCTTCCCCCACCTGCCTATACTCCTGCCATATTAGTATAACTTTAGAGAAACATCCAGCTAGTGACTTCTATGTCCCTCTGGCTGCCACTTAGGTTCAAAGGGAGTAGGCTTTCTTTCCTCCTTTGTTTTCTTAAAAACTCACTTAATACCTGACATTTCAAGCATTTAACTATTTCACTTTTGAGAGGCCTGTTGACCCAAACACTTCATTTTGCCAATGACCCACAGAAAACAGGGATAATTGGGCCCCGAGGGAAAGCACTTGGAGAGTCTCTCACTAATGGATCTCCTCCTCCATGCAAAGCAAAGGCATTGTCCACTCTTCATTGTTGTGTTTATAATTTTACAGCCTCTCCTGCCACCGCCCAGCTACCTGAGAGCTGAGTGTTGTAAACAGTTGTCCTATCTACCCTGGAGTCCAATCCTGGCTAAGAGGAAGTAGTCCTTGAATGGAGAATTTACCTAGGATTCTGACTTATCTATAAAACAAAGTCCTGTGTG